GGTGGCTCTGTCACTGCCAGAGAAGGCAAGACTGAGGTGGGAGGGAACAGACGTCCAAGGCAAATCTTGCAGACGTGATGTTGTGCATGGTCTGTTATGCTTTTTTTCACCATGGGAAGGACATGATGTCAACAAGCAGTGTCCCTCTTAGGCATGGAGAAATGGACGTAAACGTGGGGGCTATGGAGTAGGACTGCCTGCTCATGAACCCCAACTCTACCACGTATGAGCACTGTGACACTGAACAAGTTAATTAATGACTCTGTGCCCTGGTTTACCCAGAAAATGGTGATGATAGTAATTAGTTCATTTTCTAAATTATAAAGTAAGAATACTGTAGTATGAGGATTCAGTTATATAAAGCACTTAAAGCACTAACCAGAATGTCTGGTAAGTTGTAAGCACTCACTATAATTTTTCCAGAAATAACGAGCAAATGTGGGTGGCAGTCATGAAGCAAAACTTAGGGTAGACATTGGTGAATACTTAAAATAACAATGTAGAGTTATTTTAAAGGCAGGTATCCTCCAGGAGATGTGAGTCGAGTCACCCAAAAGCAAAAAGGGCCACAGAAGCTTGACCATTACCTTCCAAAGAGGAAGCATCAATTTTTGAAAATTTGGCTGAAAAAATACCCTTGGCTTGTATATGATGAGATACTAAATCTTATGTTCTGTGGCCTGTGTCGTAAGCATGAACTAAAGTCAAGAGGAAATCAAATGAGCTTTTTTTATGGCACTGACAACTTCAGCACTGAATTTCTCAGTGCACATCATCTCAGCGAGGCTCATGCCAAAGCGTTATTAATGGAAGCAACCAGTGGTTCTCCAGTGCACAGAGCCACAACAGAGCTGATGGTGAGGACCATGAGCAAAGTGACCCTCGGGAGAGTCGAAAACTTATTCAGATCATGCCATGCTATCGCCAAGACCGGACGTCCCCTCAATGATTTTATCTGGATGTGCAAGTTGGATGATATGAAGGGCATTGATATTGGCCCAGTATTCAGAACTAACAAATCGGCAAGAACATTTACGTATTTCATTGCAGAAGTAGAACGGAGACATCTAAGAGAGAAACTAGCAAAAAGTAAATTTTTCTCTGTCATCAGTGATGGAGTCACAGACAGTCCAGTGGAAGGAGCTGAACTTGTCTACGTGCAGTTTGCACATGCAGGAAAAGTGCATTGCCAAATTGTTGGGGCACAGACAGCAGTAAAGAAGGACCCCCTTGCAATTAAAAATGCCATCGAGAAAACTCTAGAGAGAAGTCTTCAACTTAGGCTGTCAAACAAAGACTGGGCAAAGAAACTGGTTGGTTTTGGAAGCGATGGTGCCCCTGGCTCAGAGGGAGAAAACAACGGGGTGGCCCTGCTTTTAAGAGAAATCCAGCCATGCGTGCTAACTGTGTATTGCTTTGCACATCATCTTGAACTATCTTACAAGGCGCTGCTCCAAAGCATTCCCCTGTACAACCATGTCAAAGACCTTCTTCATAGTGTTTATCACTTCTACCACAGTTCTCCGCTTCGTAAGAGTTCTCTGGTAACTGCTTTCAAAGGCCTTCACCTTCGCCCCGTGATGCCTTCTCAAATAGGAGGCAGCAAGTGGCTTCAGGGATTACAGGCAGCCCTCCAGAACTTTCTCAAGGGGTATCCTGCGATTGTCCAGCAGCTGCATTCGGTAAGTGATTTTGAGGTGCCACACCATTTTAATTTTTCTGAATAACAGAAAGTTTTTTTATCAAGTAATTTGCAATAATAATTTTGAGAATGATAGACCACTATTTAATTCCCAATCTGTGTTACAGACAGATGAAGGTGGAAGTGACATCAGTCATCCAAAAGCCAAAGAACTTCTAGAGTTCCTTCTGCAAGCAGACATTGTCAAATTTGTCCATTTCTTGGTGGATGTCATTAATGTGCTTAGCATTCTGTCCCGTGTCAGTAAGAGCAGAAATTCTTCAGTTGCAGATGTATTTGCCACCTTAGCGTCCACACTAGAAATGCTCGGCATATATCAAAAAAGGTGAGGAGTCAGAGATGACCTGAGGGCCTGTCGATAGACATTTTAACTTGGGAAATCATTTGCCATTTAATTGTTTAATTTCTCAGTTAATTGTTTACTCGGGGGACATTTTTTTTTCTCCCCAGACTAGGGCCAAAAGAACGTAGGGTGGATTCAGTCACACACTTTCATGGTAACTGCCTCAAAGGAAAAGGAAACATTTCTGATGTGAGAAACACGGTTTTAGCACATCTCATCAAGAGGCTACGAGGCTGTTTCAGAGATGTCAGCCAAGATGTAGTGAAGGCAACCATAATTGGAAGCTTTAAATTGTGGCCCACAAAGATAAATCAAGGTAACCTAAGTGCACTGACTCTGAACCTTAAGCTCTTTGATTGTCTGTGTGAGTGCCTTTCATATATGTGACTTTTCATTTTGTATACTGATGGCAGAATTTGGAGAAAAAGAGGTATCCATCTTGACTGCACATTATGAACCAGTATTGGAAGCTGCCAATGTACAAATCAATGAACTAGACACTGAATGGAGCATGTTGAAATTAGAGATTTATACTAGGTAAGCATAAGTAAACCAGTTGATATTTATAAAAATTTGGGTAAAACTTAGGAGTCTCAATCTTTTACATTTTTCACTTTCCCTCTCAGGTTTCAGAACATCCGCAAATTGACCTGGGATTTTGTGAATTCTGTTTACTTACACAAATATCCGAATATCCTGACACTAGTGGACCTAGTGCTGACTCTCCCCGCAAGTTCAGCTGAGACAGGACGTGGCTTTAGTCAGATGCAAAGCACCAAGTCACAAATGCATGCCAACATCAAGGCTGATGGCATGACGGATCTTCTGGTCATTCAGTTGAATTCTCCAGACATTAATAACTTTGACCCCAGGAAAGCTATCCATTTATGGACTATGAGAACACCATCTTCAACTGATGACACGAGACCCAATTCGGATTGCTCATCAAACTCAGAAAGCCATTATGAAAGTGATTAGTAATATGGCAAATACTGACTTCATCATTGATCATAGGAAAAAATTATTTCCAAAACCTGAAATTTAAAAGTAAAACTGTAAATTTAAAAGTAAAAATGTCACAGGTCTTCTCATGTAACCCAAAAGGCATTTGGCACCTTCCAGACATACAAAGCAAAAATCCAAAGATTGGTTTTCCCAGTAACTTTCTAGTTCCACTTCTATATTCACACATACTTTCACATTCTTTGGGTGGAGGTGTATACTTCTAAGCGATGGTGTTATTTTGATGTCATCTTTCTGAGAGTTATTGCTAAGGGTTACCAGACTATGATCATGGTCTGAGTTCCTTTAGGCCTGGCATACAATTAACTGTTCTTCCTGGATGATTCTATTATAAATGATAGTTACATTAGATAATTAATTAAGAGCCAAATTGAAAGGGAGTTTCTTTTTGATCCATGAACAAAATTTGTAAGTTTATCTGTTTCTATTTCCACATAATATGTGAAGATCGTATAATCACATGCCTGGGTTACTTAAGTAACAAGGTCAAATATTAAAGTAGTCTATGCATTTTGCACTAAGGTCTCAGGTAAACAATTCCTATGTAAACTTAAAGTATTGTCTTACAGTACTTTGCTTGCACCATGGCTATCAGTGACCGTGGAAATATTTTACCCATCTACCAGAATTTGTAAATACTTTGAGCTTCTTCATGGTTTCAATAGAATTTATTTATGTTTTCGTCTTGAGGAACATGAATGATTTATTTCTAATATACCTGAAAATCAATGTACTATCATATAAAGATTATTTTATTGAAAATTCTACTACCTTGGAAAGCGTTCTCATCTCTGTAAAATTGGATACTCAGGTTTGAACAAAAAGGATGAAGAGTTTATTTCTGAACAGACTGCTGGATGTCCAATCATATCAAAGAAATACGTATTCTGCTCTTTCTATCCAGAAAATGATCTTCCAAATCTCAAAATTGTATATTTGGCTTGAACCACTGAAGTTTTAAAAGGATTATTGTATGTTCCTAAAGGTTAAAGGAAATGATGACTTTTATGTTGGACTTTTAGAAATGCTAAAAATTTAGATGTACAAAGAAGATTTTGAGACGCTACATCTACGTTTTTCACTCTTTTTATTTCTAAACAAAGAAGAATAGTCATATACTTTGGACATGAAAGATACCCATACGTACAGGATTCTCTCCTGGGTCTCGAAGGTACCTCTATTATGGGAATTAAACATTTTTTTTCTTTTCAGCAAATTCATTTATTTTGCTTTTCTATTTCTTTTTAAGTGCATGTGCATGCAATCTGAGATGAGAGACTGAGCAGACATTTCTGTTGGAGTAAATTAGTGTAAAGTAGATTAGTGTATAAGAGCCAAGCAATTAAAAGGTTAGTTATCTTTTATAAAGTACTTTGGAATAGTGAGCCAATTGGATGATTAAATTAATACTTCCAAGCCTGTAATTTAACAATTCAAATCTCCCTACATTTACAAAAACACACCTATTCTGATCTAAAGAGCAAAATGAGGATAAATGTGTTACCTTGATAACTGTGGTGATTTGCATGCTTTGAAGCACCTTTATCTCATATTTACCAAAATATTTTACTCTTGCGCCCTACTGACAGTAGGAAAGCTTACAATTTTTCTTTTTAATTCAACCTATTCTGAGTAACAGGTCAAAGAAGTCTCCAAACTAAAATAGAAATTCTCAGTATTTTGTCCAATCTGGAATGATTTACTACTCAGCAAAAAAAGATATTTTGACTTAGCTTGGAAACAATAATGGGAGAGCATCAGGAAATTGATTATTACTTTTATGTTTTCCAAATGTCTTCTGTTTCTCTAAAGGTTACACTTTTGAATAATATGAATAAAGTGACTATGCAAATACCCATTATTTATTCCATGTTCACAAAATAAAAGAAATCCCTGTCACATAACTGAAAAATATTTTTCATTGTGTTATAGGCATAATAGGAAATAAAACATTTACTGACATTCTGCTTGATTTGGTCACCCTGAACCATGGAACAAACAACTTTCCTTGTAGTTGGATGAACCTCACTCAACCTGAAGTAAGCGTCAGTTTTGTTTGGATTTCAAAGCTTTGAGAATTCTTATTTGATCAGTAAGACAGTAGTTTTAAAATAACCGGTACTTGCACAGTATCTGACATTTAGTAGACGATCGATAAAACTTGAATGAATGAACTTTAACTTAAAACACATACAAGTAGTATGTACATGCTCAGTATTGGAGTAATGAGTGAGAAAAATAGTCAATGAAACTTTATACAGACCATGAGGATCAGCCTCTAAGTTTGTATCTATTGCTACCTCATGGAATGATCTTAGCAATAGTAGATGATTCTGGCAGTTCTTGCTTTTCATCATATTCTGCTTCTTAAGAATGTATCAGAAAGCAAAGCAGTTAAAGAATATTTCCCTACAGGCAGTAGAGCCCTTGCACAGGGCACTGCTACTATCTTTATTCCTCCTCTGTAGAGAAGGTACAAGGTCAACTGGAGTGACACATGTAAAATCGTTGTGTAACAGTAAGCAAAAATACAAATGTCAAGGAAACAAAAGGAAACAAAAAGGTGAAACACTGTCTAGATACTGTCTGGTGTAGATTGGTTGGCAGAACCTGAGGGAATATAAGTCAGAACCAGCTTTATCCACCAGTCTAAAATCCTATTTCCTGCCTCTGAATCTCTAAGAAACATGAGCAGGGAGAACGTCATGATAGAATCATACAAATATTCCAATGGTATTTCTTGTTTACTTCTAGTTGCAGGAGTTAACATCTTTATTAACTGTAAACTCGGAGTTCGTGGACTGGCGGAAATTCTTGCTAGTGACCGCGCTGCCTTGGCCCATCCCCCTGGAGGAGGAGCTCCTCAAGACCTGGCAGAGGTTCAAGGCTGTGGATGAGGAGCAGCTGGGCACCGTCACTTTCGAGCAGTATATGCAGGTTGCTGTCAACACCTATTGGCACTCACACCAGGCTACTTTTGACCTAAGAAGTAGGATGTATCTGGTAACCTTCCCCAGAGCAATTCCGGTGGAGTACAGATTCCAGATTGCAGAGAACTGAGGAACTGAATAACTCTTTAGGAAGCGAAGATAAGAAAAGATGATTCATTTTTGAGAAGTTTGAGTAAAGAACGTGTGAGAGTGAAATCTCATTACTAAGAAGGGCCTGAATTGCTTATTTTTGTGTCTATTAATTGGACTCATCCTGTTGCTCACCATTTCACAATGCTGGTAGACTTAAAAGAGGGAAGCATTTATAGTTGCTGCTTTTGAAACAGGGTGATACCCTCTAGGGGCCTGTGTCTCAAATGTATTCCACCATTGAAAGGTCACATCCCTCCTGCTTCTCTTTTCTTCCATAATTAATGGGTGGCGTGCTTGTGGTCAGCTCTGAGGTTCTCACGCTCAGGTTGAGCCAGAGGAAATAGCACTTGCATGTTGACGAGATTCCTTCAAGTCTGATCAAGAAAGGTGCTTAGCAGATTTGGCTCTGATTTATCTCCCCCAAAAGAGCAATTTATGAATCCCATCACTGTCCTGGACTTATGACTGGTAAAGATGGTTTTGTCTACGAACCAAAACAGCTGAGCAAAACTTACTCTATTTTTATCACTGGCTTAAGATTTTTAAAAAGTAGGCACTTGTGAAATTACCAGTCTCCACTATATACAGTATGTGCCAATTAACACAGGATATCAATTTAAACACCCTTTTGCACAAACATGAGACGAACAAAGGGTGTTAGCAATTTTTACCAAAGTGCTGAGCCAAAACCAGAACGCTCCTTTACCAAAGGTGTGAATTTCTTAGAGAAAGTTAGCTGCTGCGTTTAATAGACACTCAGAAGCACTGGAACGCCACCTGCGTTCTGGGAGCAGTTGATTTCTGATCTCTGCCTTCCCCCCTTGCCCACCCAGCCCCCACTCCTCAGGAGCCCAAGGACTAGGAGGCCATTTGGAGAGGCCCGCCTGACCATCCCACATGACTTTTACAGATTTCCAACACTCAGTGGCTCACATCAAAAAAATAATGATAATAATAAAGTTATTTTATGGGAAAAGTCAAAACAGCTTCTAAGGCAAAACTTTTTAAGATTTATTGAAAATGCCACATTAAAACAGTGAAATAGTGTAACTGCATTACTGCTAGGAAGCTCTCTACTATATTTATACTGATATAAAAGGCTCTCTACTCTGCCTTTTTATTTTGTCTGTCTTTTTTCTTTTCTTTTGACTAATTGCAAGTTCACCACAACAGCCACTTAAGAGTGTGCCGATTTCCCCAACTTCTGAAATGGAATAAGATATAGTGTTTGTGAAGTCAGATGGGCTGTGTATGTCAGCTAAGCAATGAGAGCATAAAAGCCCGTTTGCCCTTTGCTCCCAGCCCTGCTGCAGCTGTCATATGATTACCTCTGTCATGTGTAGATGTTTAGTCACACTCATGTAGGCTTCTTTGATGTTGAACTCCGACTCATCTTCTATCAGTGAGAATGCATGCTATTATAGGCTTAATGAGTAAGACATTCTAGGATTCAAATAGCACAGCACTTATTTTCTAAGGAAAAGTTAAAAAAATATATAAAACATAAAACAATTCTTTGGCCATATTTAGCAAGAGGATATTTCCATATCTTAAGGAGAAATTGCCCAACTATCCACTGAGGCAGGATGTGGTAGAGTGAAATGCTTTATCAATTCAACCTGACTATACAGGTTCAGGGTTAACATTTCATATTGTAAAAATTCTCACGGATGACTTTTTAAAACTCCTAAGTTGTTTTCCAGTTAGGTTATTTTTTTCTTTGTAATATGACTCTGTTTTGTGTGAAACACTTTCAAACAGTTTCCTAGTTTATGAAATATTCTTTATTTTTAGAAAGCTTATATGAATCATTGGTTTTAAAAATCAGGGAAAATGCCTGTGCTTCGATACAACTGGATATGGAGTTGAGAGTTGGTTGAGTGATGGGAGAAAGGGCAGGGATTCTATTTCTGTTTCTTTATTTCTCCTCTAGCTTCTTTTAATATTTCCTCTTTATTACTGGTTTTCAACAATTTGCTTATTGTGTTCCTCAATGGTCTTTTCTTCTGCTTGGGGTTCATTGAGCTTCTTGAATCTGCAGGTTTTTAGTTTTTGTCTAATTTGAAAATTTTTCGGGATATCTTTTCCAAATATTTTTTCTGTATCCTCTGCCTTCTTAAAATCCAATCTCATGTTTATTGTCCCACAGGTAACTGATGCTTGGTTCATTCTTTCAAGTCTTTTTTCTCTCTGTAGTTTATTTTGTAGTCATTTCTATTTCTATGTCTTCAAGTTCATTGATTATTTTTTCTGCTGTGTCAAATTTGCTATTAATACCATTCAGTGTATTTTTCATTTCAGATACTGTATTTCTTTTTTATCTCTAGAAGTTCAAGTTGGATTTTTAAATGTCTTTCATTTCTCTTTTCATTATGTGTATGTTTTTCCTCTATCTCCTTGAACAAATGAAATATATTTAGAATACCTAACTGAACATAACTGTTCATTTTATCATTTGTGCTATCCCTGTGTTCATTTCTATTTGATGTTTCTTCTGGCTATAGGTCATATTTTCTAGCTCATTTGCAATGAGCCAGATATTAGATGCCAGATATGAATTTTATATTTTTGGGTGCCCAGTTTTGTATACTTTAAATATTGTCTGGCATGCAGTGATGTTGCTTGAAATCAGTTTTATCCTTTCAAGGTTATATTAAGATTTGTAAGAGTGGGTCCAGTGCAGCCTTCAGTGTAGGGCTCATGTGGCCCCAATATGAAGGCAGTATCCTCCTGGGGGCTCTACCCAGCACCTTGTGTATTAGGAGGCCCTTCCACTCTGCCTCGTGGTAACATGAACTATTCCCAGACCTCTGTGAGTCACAGGAGTCACTCAGCTTACTCCTTTACTGATTTCTTTCTCCAACTTCTGGTATTTTCTACACACTCATCCACAGACTGTCTCTCAATTAAGATGTGAGGGGATCCCTCTACAGATCTCTAGTTTCTCTCTCTCTCTCTCTCTCTCTCTCTCTCTCTCTCCCTCCCTTCCTGCATCTCTAGCATTCTGTCATGAAAATTCTAGCCTTCTTGACCTCCTTCAATTTCGAAATTTATCTCCTCAACTCAGCAAGACCACCTAGCTGTTTGGATGCCTTTCCTGGCACTGCAGCCTGGAAACTCCCTCCAGGCTGGAACACTAGTAAGGACCGTCTCTTGTTTTCCTTCTTTCAGGAACTACTGTCCTGTGTTGCCTGTTGTCTAATGTCTGGAAAAAAAAAACACCATGTTTGATATATATTGCCCATTTTTCTTGTTACTTAAGGCAGGAGGGTAATTCTGAAGTTTGTTACTCCATCATGTCCTAAAGCATAAATCTTACCCAAGTTCCTCATGTCTCTATTCTCCCACAGAGTGGTACTTCCCCTCCAGATTAGTCACTGGGCAAGGGTATCCTCCTGATTAGTGCAAAAGCACTTACATTCAAAGCCTGGGCCCACGCTGGACCTTAAGCTGCCTCTGGGCCTTCTCCCTCACAGGCCAGTAACTTAAGGAATTTACACCTGATGTTCAACAGCAGACATAAATGACAACACCCAAAGGAATGGACTAAATACCAAAAATGTGGTATGACAAACAAGTTGAATTAGAGTTCAGAGAAGAAATCAAGGAGGGCCTCCCTGAGGAGGTGTGATCAGAGCCAGGTCTGGAAAGATGTGTAGGTTTACACGGGTAGACAAAAAGTCACCTCAGCTAGGAGGGATGATGTGAGCAAAAGAGCAAGAGTAGGAAACGGTCTGAGCAGAGACTGCTATGACAAGATTAAAGTTTTGAGAAGATTGATATTGTTGCAAGGTATAAGCTGAAATAAACAAGAGGGCAACTGGAAACAGAAGCAGCTCTGAGGTTCCCTGGGAGGCCTGTGACCGAGTAGTGAGGCTCTACATCAGCGTGGCAGCATGGGAACGGAAGGAAGTGTGAGATGGACAAGGCATTGCCAAATGGAAATAGAGGGGTTTGGTCATTGGTGTCAAACGCGGGCTGAGAAAGAGGATGTCATTAAAAAGGAAGCCTTTGAGCTCTTCTGTCAGTCAGTCACTCACTCAACAGAGATTTTCCAACAATGTGTACCAGCACCATGCTCGGCTCTGAGAACAGACAGCAGCATAGACACAACGTGTGGAATGTGAGCTACTGTTAAGGGTGTAGACCCCTACCACGTATTGCTCTGCGCGCAAAATCTAGGGCAGTGACCTCCAAGGTTCATCGCATGTTCCAACAGTTAAAATATAGCTGGTATCCCTAATACATGGATTTTCATTTATAAGTTATACACGTGTACTACTGCACTAATACATTACACAAATTTTTAAAAATAAAATTACAAAAGAATCAGAT